AAAAAAAAAAAAAAAAAAAGAATTATTCCACTTCAAAAAAATTCTGTACAACAGGCAATAGCCGCATGTGGCAAGTAAGTCAATGAAATGTGTCCTAAACCAAACTGAGGGGTGCTATAAATATGCAATAATACAAATTTTTGTTTTGTTTTGTTTTTTATAGGTCCACCAAACTTTGTCAGAAGCCCAGCGATTCTGGAGAACAAGAGAGTAGCCTTGCCAAGACTGTTCTGTTCTTCCATTTCCAAAATCACAGTTTTGTACAGGGTATCCATAAAGTTCATGTGCAATTTACTATGTTAAGCTATTTTAAATTCCACACGAACTTTAGGTCCACCCTGTACATGAAAGTAAAACCTTGTTAATCTTTATCTTAAACAACAATAATCAGCATAACTCATAACCGAAAACAACATTCCAATGCAAAGATTAATCTCCCAAACCAATCTTCCTAAACTATTCAAAACAGGCACCTTCAGGTGGGAGCAATAACACCAAATTTTGAAGATTTAGTTTAAAATAAAAATAGCATCACATTAATACTTTTTACATTTAAATATACTGAGTTAAATAAAAATGTATTACTAAAATTAATTTCACGTTTCTATTTGTTTTAAAAAATACGGCTACTAGAAAATTTTAAATTACCTTATGTCATATTATCAACCTATTGGACAGCAATAATCTAAACAGTTAATGGAATGAAGGTAGTGATTGCAACAGTACCTCAAAAAATCCTACCTTTTTATGTTAAAAGTGCTTAATTATGAGAACATATCACCTACTAAAACACTGGAATAATTAACCATAAAAGGGCCCACGATCAATCCAAGTATGAAACTCCATATACTCTTGGATATAGGTTTTCATTGCACTGAAGACAGGTGTACCACTTCATCACAAAACACTAACCTGCTCGTTCTGAATGACTTGGCAAATACAGGGTTTACAAAACACATGTGCACAATGTGTTATCACAGGAACTGTTAAAGAATCCAAGCAAATCGAACATTCTTCATCCGAACCTGAGCTCAGAATTAACTTCATCTTCCTTATCAACTTCTTCCTCAGTTCTTCAGGTGTGTCATTTCCTAAAGAAAAAGCTGGAAAATTAATTTCAGGGCAAGATTTGTAATGTGAATAAACAAATTAATCTACCTTATGTAAGTAAAACTTTTGTTTGCCAGTAGCGGGAGTCTCTTCCATCTTTTTCTATCATAAGCAAAAACCATGATTAAAACTTGAAATTTTAAGAAAAATTCAGAAGCTAAAATAGTAGCCAACTCACATAATATACTTCATATAGCATTATAATATGCTTTGCACATGCTAGCAGAGAATAAGAGGCAGATCCAATATGAACTGTTCAACAAAGGGTATCCATCACTGGAAGTCCTGGAAATATCTCATTATAATTCTATTCCATTGGTAAAAATAATCCTTGGATAAATTCTCAGCTGAGTCCAATACTAAAAACACTGTCCATTTGACAAAATAAAATGACAAACTCAATTTATGGCATATACAAAATTTCTCATTCTGATTTAAGGACCTCTAATGGTATGAGCCAATCTTATCTACTTACCTGCGGAACCACTGGAAGAAACTGCATTTGTAAGAAGGTGCGTATGACAACAAATCTGCCGCAATCTAAGCAAAAGACCCAGGACATCTGCATAGTGTGCAAGGACAGTCCCTTCATTAAAATACCTAGAGACAGAAATGTCATCTGTTATGAAGTCTTCCAAGCAGTAATAATTTCCTCTTCTAAAATAATAGAATAAAATGGCATCGTTCTGTTCTTCTCCGGAAATCACTCCAAAATACGAATGAAAAACAAAAAAGCAAACTCTAATGAAACCAAGAGAGATTTGTTAACAACAAAGCACAATGTTAAGAGAAATGGCTGCCAAGTGCAACAAAAATCAAATGAGAAAATATTGGGAAACAGGATTGCAGATTCTCAACAGATCTTCCAGAGCACAGTTCTTCAAAGCAGATTGTATGCCCTGAAGGGAAAACCAATACCTCTATGTCTGTCATGAGCAAAACCAGAAAGGAGACACATATCTGTCTGGTGACTTCAACTTCCCTAGACAAGTTTATATTAAAAAGGAGCAAAAACAACTGAATAAGGAAACATACAGATGCACTGTACTTTCAGGGAAAAAAGATTACAGTAGTACTAATAAAATCTCAAATAATTCATGTAACCTTGAATTACAAATTGGAGTATTTTTTGCTAGTGTGGGACACAGTATGGCCTTCCTCTTCATATTAATATAGACTAGCAAATAGCTAGTCCAGAAAGAACTCAAGACATTAAAGTATAAGTAATAATCAGTATAGAGCAAGATAGGGAAAAACTGACAGTGAAAGAAAACTCACCAGAAAAATGTAGCCATAGAGTAAATAAAAATTATGATCGAGGATACTGCCAAGATTTAATACCACTTGGTAAAACTTTTCTTCTAAAGAAATAACTTAAGGCAAAAACAAAGAACTTTTTAAAGATATGGTAAGACAACATAAAGACGTGAAAGATGACCTGTTACAGCCTAAGAGTGTAGAAGATAAAAAAGTGAAATGGCAGAGAAATAAAAGCACACTGCAACAAGCATAAAAAAGACAAGGCGCTGATAAAAGCACAGCAGAGGATGCGGGAAACAAGACGGGGAAAAGCTAAACAGAAAGATACCTATGGGAAGCAGACAAAAGACATCTAACATACACAGAAATCAATTAACAAAACAGAAAAACAGTAATTAAAACAAGCTTTCTAGGAAAGGGAAGGTGAGGGGGAAAGAAGCCTGGAAAGATTCCACATGTTCCAGGAAAAGTCAACAGAGAAGACCTGGCCAAATTGCTGGACATTAGAGGGAAGAAAAAAAAAATCAGTCTTTTCCAGAAAAATATTCAATATAAAATACAGGGATATAATGACAATAAAGATTGTGAAGGAAAGAATGGATGATCCAAAAATAATTTAACCAGGCAATCTGATACCTAAGCATTTTACAGCAATAGAAAAAATACCGAATACTGGTTCAAAGCACAGATTTTTTAGAGCTAGATTGTCATGAATTCAAAACCTGTCTCTGCCAATTTAGTCACATAACCTTGGACGAGTTCCTTAACCTAGTCCATGGCCTATTAGGAATCGGGCCACATAGCACAAGGTGAGCAGCAGGTGAACAAGAGAAGCTTCAACTGTGTTGACAGCCACTCCCCATCACCAGCATCAGAGCCTGAGTTCCACTTCCTGTCAGAAGTGATAGCAGGAACCCATACAAAGGATCACACATGCAGTTTACAGGAGGGCTCACTAGGGCTCTCATTAGATTCCTATGAGAATCTAGGTGTAATGCACTGGAATCATCCCCAAACCACCACCCAGTCTGCAGAAAACCTGTCTTCCATGAAACTGGTCCCTGGTGCCAAAGAGACTGAGGATCTCTGGCTTAGTATTGAGCTTCCTCAGTTGTTAACAGTGGCATAGTTAAAGTACCTACCTCAAAGGACTGTTGTATTAAAAAAGTTAACAATAGATTACAGCTACACATTAGAAAAATTATACATCACGATCACGTAGGTTTCATCCCAGGGATGGCAAGGCTAGTTTAACATATGCAAATCCATTAATGTAATTCACCAATACAAAGCAAAAACTAAGAACTAAGAACAAAACTAAGAACAAATGATCCTTTCAATAGATACAGAAAAAGCATTTGATAAAATTCAGCATGCACTTCTAACAAGAATACTTAAGAAAACAGGCATAGGTGGTACATTTCTTCAACTGACCGAAGCCATCTATGACAAACCCACAGCTAATATCACACTGAATAGAGTAAAACTGAAAGCTTTTCCTCTTAGAACTCGAACCAGACAAGGTTGTCCTCCATCATCACTACTATTCAACATAGTGCTGGAAGTTCTGGCCAATACAGTCAGGCAAGTGAAGGAAATAAAGGGCATCCTAATGGGGGCAGAAGAGGTCGTAACACATTTGCTGACGATATGATCTTACACTTAGAGAACCCCAAAGATTCAACCACAAGACTCCTGGAAGTGATTAAAAAATACATCAATGTCTCAGGATATAAAATCAATGTCCACAAATGAGTAGCTTTTGTATATGCCAGTAACATTGTTGTAAATTAATACATTCAAAGTACTTGATCAATGCATAACACTTAAGTGCTTAACAGATACTAGTAAAGACATAACTTATTAAAAAGAATACTTTAAAAATAACATATTTCATTTCTGAGAACGTGGTTTCAATAACGTTATTCTTTTTTAACCTTCTAAAATAGTGTAACTGTTACTAACACAAATTATTCCTCGACAGGGTCACACATCTCACTGACACTCAGCATTTCCGTTTAGGAGACCTCTTTTAAGTGCTCACAATGTGCCAAATGTTGGAGTAGAGGCTTCGTTAGACGTTTTCTTTCATTTTACTCACTTCCTTCGTGACCCTTTTCAGTCTTAGGGCCTTAAGACTACACATCTACACATAGGTGACTTTGAAACTTATATGTCAAACCAAAAATATTCCTATGACCTCTACTCTCCTATTCAAATGACTATTTTGACATCTTCACTTGGAAATTTCAGAGGCATCTCATGATCAGTGCATCCATAACTGAGCTTCTAATCTTACCTGAAAAAACTCTGTTCCTCTCCACACTCCCAGTTACTCAGATGAAAAACCTTGGCGTTATCTTTGATTCCTCTCTCTCACATCCCATGATGATCAAGTGGCAAGTTCTGTTTGCTCTAACTTTCAAAATTTAACAGAATTCAACCATTTCTCATCCCTTTCAACACCAGTACTATGGTAAAAACCATCATCATTTTACTTTATTCCCACAATCTAAATCTGAACATAGCAGCCAGAGTGATCTGTTCAAAATATAACTCAGATTATGTCACTCTCCTGGCTCGAAACCCTTAAAGATTTCCTCGTTCATAAAAAGTAAAAGCCAAAGTCCTTGAAATATGCCGTAATACCTCACACAACTTTCATTCACCCCACTTCAAGACCTCTCTGACACTATGCCTTCTTGCTCATATAATCCAGCCACACTTGCCACTTTGTTCTTTAAACTCAGCAGACTGTTCTTCAAACTTCAGGCATGCTCCAACTGGGGGCTTTTATACCTGCTGTTCCCTCTGTCCAAAACCCCCCTCAATCCCAATCTCCTTTAGATCTTACTCATGCATCACCTTCTCAGTGAGGTCTTCCTTCAATACCATATTAAAACAGCTTCAACATCTCCATCCCTTTGTTTTTATCCATAAAACTTTACCATGTTTTTTAATTGTCTGTTGCTTCCCACTAAAATATAAACTTTTTGAGGGCCAGGATTTTTGTCTAAAGTTCTTATGTTTTAAAGAGTCTCCTATTTTCACTGACCTCTTCTGCCTTTGCTTGTCTTCTATTCATCTTGTTGCTATGGGCATTCACATCAAGCCTGCTCTTAGAATTTCTCACCTTGTACTAATCCTTAATCTTTAAAAATCTCCTTTGTCAGCCCCTATTCCCAAATTTCCACACAAGGCATTCTAAGTAGCACTTGAGAACCTGTCATTAAATGTAAACTTAATTTTTTCCTAACTTAAAGAAATACTTACCTGGTGAATTACACTGATACTTCATTTCACTTCAACTATTTTTTTTTTTTTTAAGACAGAGTCTCACGCTGTTGCCCAGGCTAGAATGCTGTAGCAACAGCCCAGCTCAGCTCACAACAATCTCAAACCCTTGGGTTTAAGTTATCCTCTTGCCTCCCAAGAAGCTGGGACTACAAGCGAATATGACAATATCTGTCTAATTTTTGTTTTTAATAGAGATGGGGTTTCACTCTTGCTCAGGCTGGTCTTGAACTCTTGAATTCAAGTAATCCTCCTGCCGTGGCCTCCAATAGTGCTAGGATTATAGGCACAAACCACTGTGCCCAGACCCCACTTCAATTATTAATTTGTAAAAAGTACAGTAAGTCACAGTAAGTCAGTACAGTAAGTCACAGAACCTTTTAATACACATCAGACTTTACTTCTAACACATCTAAAAAATGTCATTCAGTCAATAACCAAAAATTATTTTCATTCATGGCTTTCTTTCTCCATACCTCCCAATAGTAGCTCTGCCTTCATTTTTCACAGATTGATAAATTTTTCTCTCTTCATCTGAAAGTGTAATGTGCTGGATAAATACTTTACGTTCTGGTAACTCCAAAACAGGTTTTCCTTTAATTTTGCTTGTCTTTGTTCTTCTAAGTGTAGTATTTTTAATTAGGGACTGTAAACGCCTAGTCAGGATAAAACAAATAATTATATAATTTATTTCTATGTAAATAGCAAAATAAGAGCAAAAAGAATATTTTAATTTGTTAGTGTTTTATAGCCTTAGTGAAAGATTTTAAAAATATATCTTATTTGGGGTTTTTTCAATCAGATAATCAGAGCAAGTATTCTATGAATAGAAAATTATTAACATGTATGCACTGAAACTGCCCCTCAATACCCATCAGTTTAATCTTCTTATATCCTATCCTTACTCTCTTAAGCTCTTCTCCCCATTTCTGTTCCAATCACTAACCTTCTTACTTCTCAAAAGCTCTGTCTACGACGTAACCTAATAGTCAATACTCAAAATTCTTACTGACCATCTATTAAGAGCAAGATACTATATTAAACGTTTTAAGAACACAAATATGAGTAAAAGCCTGACTTCCATAATATGAAGATCAAAAGTACATATATAATTTCTATAAAGTAATGAGTGCCCCCCAAATAAAAACCATCCTATGAGAATTCAGAATAGGGAGAAATGCCTTCCAGGTTCCTCGATCTTTTCATTTCCTTCTCAGTATCAGAAAAAAGGAGGCACATTAGTATTTCAAGAGAACATTTTTCTTAACATTGAAATATCAATTCGATTTCTTAGCGTGGAGTCTAAATAGTTGGCTCTTAGCAATCAGGTGGATTGTACTGCCAACTCGGTTAGTGGCTCTTAACCTTTTTCACCATAACCCATACTGAGAAACACGTTTTTACTTTAAACAGCAAACAGAAACAAATATTTCACAAAACAATATTCCTTGTGTATGATGTGTTGTGTGATTTCATTTTCTATTTTAATGCTGGCTATCACCCTTATAATGACTTCACAAGACACTAAGATTCCAAGTCGTCAGGGTAAAAATCACTGCTTAAGACAAAAAACTTGAACCACATTAGCCTGGCACCTTACAATATGATTATCACCACACTTAGTTTTAATTTATGTTCTCAACTTTTACCTCTACCACAAACAACCAGAAAAAAATTCTCTCTTACCAGAGTTTTGTTGAGGCTACTGTACATCCCACAATACTCAATCACCACAATATACAGCCATACCAGTTCAGAAAATTTAATGCATACTAGATGCTCAAAGGAGATAAAAGTTCTTCTGATCACTTTTGCATTGGTTAATAGTGACTCTGAGGATAATAGCAACACACAAAGACCACTATTCTGCCTTTCCTTTCCGTGTGGCTAAAACTGGGAGGATAGTTATTGGTAATTAGAAAATCTTTTGTCTCCTCAAACAAGAATTTCTAGATTCCGAGAGACAAAGGCACAGAGCTATGCAAAGAGTAAAGTTAAAATAGTAATGAAAGTGGCAACTGGTTCAAGCTGCTCAAGGTTATTTGTGGTTAATATTATTCAGCTGTCTGAAATTATTTACCTAAGTCCTCCTTCATCTCCCATTGTGACAGGACGTTGTATTGTTCTATGCCACCATTCTCTATCAAGGAATGGTTTAAGTTTTAAAAAGGAAAGAAGAGACCACAAGTCCTTTAAAGAATTCTGGATTGGAGTACCTAAAAAATAACAAGAAAATGTTATCTCTTTAACATGAGTATCCAATGAGAATATACATCTGGCCCAGTCAGAGAAGGTAACGGTTGAAAATGGGAACTCTATACCAGGCACACCACAATCAAGCTGTAACTCTAATCCCTTCTTAAACACACAGTTTTGCTCTAATTTTTAAAAACTTTTATTTGCCACACTAACAAAGAAAAAGACTACAAACCCAATAAACTGAACTTTCGCTTTATCAAGTACATGTACTCACTTGGTTTGTATTCTTTTTTTTTTTAATTTTTATTTTTTTAAGCAATGGGGTCTTGCTTTATTGCCCAGGCTAGGGTGTGGGGACTATTCACAAGCATGACTATAGTGCACGGCAGCCTAGAAATCTTGGGCTCAAGTGCTGCTCCATTTCAACCTCCCAAATAGTGGGCAATACAGATGTATACCTGATCATTATTTGGTTTTTAAAGCAATAGCAAGAAGGAAAAAGCAATTTATTTAAATTTATATTCTCTTCTCTACCTTTTAGTAAACGTATCGCGAGTAACAGGCTCTAAGATAGGCCATAGAGAAATCAAGATTCTCATTGAAAGATTAGCATGTCTACTCAAACTCCAAGGCTCAAGAGTTAAGTCTAGAGTTCCATAAAGTAGCTATAATTCAAATGTTGTTTTATCATGGATAATTTTGAAGAATAAGACAAAAGATTTTATTAAATGATTTCTATGATTAATTTAGGGACAACTTTATACCCACTTGAGGTAAAAAATTACCTTACTAACTTGCTTAATGATACATTTTGGAGAATTAATTTTTAATACTACAATTACCTGTCAATACCCATCTTCTTTCTGCTTCTAAATCAAGTACAGCTTTAGTCTGTTGAGCATTTGGATTTCGGATAGCATGTCCTTCATCCAGGATCACTCTCAGCCACTTTATGCTATGTAATGGACTATCACCTTTAGTCTGAAATAAACGTTTCATCTGAATTAAAAAATATAGGTAAGTGAAATAATGTTTAATGTAATGTGTTAAATTATCATAGTTATTATTTCTTATATCAACACTTAATATGTGCTAGGCACTACTCTAAGCACTACATGCATTACATTATAGAAAACTCACAAGCTTATAAAGCGAGTATATCACCCTACTTTCCCAGCAAATGAAAGCTCAAAGTACTAAGTATGTTGCTCAAAGTACCACAGCCATGAAGTGGCAGCGCTAACATTCAAACCCTAGCAGTCTAGCTCCTTGCTGAGTCACTGTTCAATGCATTGAACTATATTCTGCCCCAGATTAAAATACAGTGATATAAAAACTGCCAGTTGTAAGATTTGAATACAACAGTATTACCTTCTTTCACATAAAAGGTAATATTCTTATCAGAAGACTGAAATTTTTACAAGAAGGTACTTTTCAAGTAGTTTTAACTAACCAACTAGAGAGGTAAACAACAATTAGACTCTTACAAGAATTATAAACCTCATGAACTGCAGCTACAAAAAATACAGTACTTTCAAACTGACATATTAATCATTATGATAGAAAATAATTTTTCAGATTAAAAAAGAAAATAAAGTGTGGTGCCTGTGGCTCAAAAAGTAAGGCGCCAGCCCCATATGCCGGAGGTGGAGGGTTCAAACCCAGCCCCCGCAAAAAAAAAAAAGAAAAGAAAAGAAAATTCATTTACAAATTACTTTACATAACTAGTTACAATCCAAATTTAAAATCTTAATTTAAGGGTGGT